CACCATACTCTTCTGTGGCTTCCAGGGTAAAATGTCCAAGTGACATCCTGTAATGTAATTCGAGAAAAGACCTGCAGATTATAATTAATGTAATACTGAAAGCAGGAAGAATAAATGGAGAAGGCTCTCTCTGGGACTATTTGCTTTAGTGAAGTCCATGCTTGCCAAGTTAATAGAACTATGAAGCAGAGTGCTTTTTGATTACATTGTATTGCTGATATGGCCGATATATTTTGGGATTCCTATCCAGAGAGGTTTCTGTATAGGTTTGGAAAAGCAGATAACAACAGTGCAACATATTTTCCACAGCTAAATATAAAGAAACAACCTGTATAATTTGACTATGCAATCTCATTATATTGATGATACTACCTCAGAATCTCTCTCCAGTTTTTTTAAAGTTTCCTTATATTTACTTCTAGTAGAGTTCAATAGCAAATTTCAAGCAGGAACAGTGAAAGTAAACAATGTTTGTTCTAAAAGCACTTTTTGTAGGTTATAAATCAAAGTGTGTTGGGACAATGTTCAAGCATTTTTAAAAAAAGATAATTAGATAAATGGCTGCAAATGTAATGAGGCTTAACAGCACTTCTGAAATGAGCTAATAAGTCGTCACAGAATGCATTTTGTAAGACTTGACAGTTGTGAGTTTTTCATCTATTTACCACTGGTAAGGTTTGAAAACATAAAAGATTTTCAATCCAAACTGGCTATCCTATTAAAATGAATAGAGGAAAATAAAAAGAAAGAAAAGACGACAACAATCAAACCAAGGGTAAAGCACAAGTCTTTGGCTCTCCTTAAGTGAAAAAGGGTATTTTCCTTATTTATACAGGCCCCTCATTTGCCTACAAGTAGGGGCATTACCACATTTATGCATCACTGAGTAATAACACCATAAGGAAATGCAACTTCATAGAAGTTATTGGGTACGCAAATTCATCTGAATGCTCTATTTTGAGGCAACATGCTGTTACCCGGTGAATGAAAAAGGGAGGATGATGGGGACATACAAAGGAGAGATGTAAAGACAAGAAGCAGAAATTAAAAAAGCAATGTTCAAATAGATCTCGCAGGTCCTAATTAGCCAAACACATTTAATTTGGAAATCTAAGAAAAGAATTGCATGCACTGAGTTAAGTATTATATTGTTATTCTAAAACCTGGGCTTTCATTATTATTTTTTAAAAAATAACCTGAAATCCTTCATAAAATTTGCTTGGGGTTAAATATTTTAGTATCTCTCAAATACTTTTTTATTTAAGTACACAATACGGAGTTTTGCTTATGATGCCATAGCACCCCAGTATAAAGAATAACCTATTTCATCCAACTCAGTGTATTCCAACCAAGTTTAAATAAAACATATTTTAAAAAATAGCAGATTCCTTTGTATTATATACAACATAGTTGGATGAGAGTGATACTGATATTCTATAGAACAAGATACTAATCACAATCATGAATCTTATTCAAAAATTCTCAGACAAAATGTATTATATCCCCAAACACAGTGTAAACGAAGGGTGGAGGATGTTTTAAGAGTTCAGCTATGATCATGACAGAGATATGCATATGTATTTGGCTTGTTTCCTCTTTTCTAACTGCTAGAAGGCAAATATCTTTCAGGCCTGCGAAAAGTCAAAATCTAGAATGTAAAGCTTATGTCAAGGTTTATGTGGATGGCTTTAAAAACCCAATGTGTTACACTGTTTCCACATCAACCTGAATTTTGCTCCCCAAAAGAAATTTTATGGGATTTTAATATATGGACTTGAAATGGCTAGTTTATAAAAAGACACCTGAGAATACAGTATTATAGATTCTTCTGTATGAAAGGCAGATAGCTCTTTATGCGCTCATCACTTTAACTTGTCCTCTAGGCCCTAAAAAAGAAAACAGGAAACTAAGCCAAGATCAAAGTGCTCTGCAAAGGTTAAACAAAAACTATTTGCTTGTGCATAAAGGGCATTAACCTAGATAGGGCACTGTGCGCAAAGTACAGCTTCAGGAAAATAATGGGAGGTCTCCTTGTTAGCTCAGATTCAAAGCATTTAATTTTATAGCAGAGATTTCTCAATGTTAACAATAGCATTTTCCACACTTTTTGCCTAGTGCTTTATGAACATATGTACATATGTAAAATAGTCATATGTACAACATGAAGAATATGCATGTGTACAAAATATGGGCCTATGCATATACAATATCTAGAGGGACAGGTGTGCTATAAATGGTTTAATGAATGCACTAATGTAAGAGGGGATAGTTTTGTCATTACAATCCCAACTCTTCCATACATATCTTTGATACATATATAGTTAAATGTATCAAAAACATTCAGTCTTCCCTCTCTTTAGCCAGAACACTTCCTGTAGGAAATGAGTCTGCTTGGCATATCTAGTTGAAAGCCAATTTTTCTGTTATTCCAAATTGGATTTTCATTGGAAGAGAACACATTTAAAAGAACTATATAAGGGACTGGCTAATTTTGAAAGAAATGGAACTTTCATATTCTCTAGTAGGGCCTTATACTAGGAATAGTGCACCTGATTCACTGAAAAGACTTCTTATGTTTGGAGACATGGCAAGAAAAAGTATTTATATAAGCAAACTTCCTTTCAATATGCCATGACATTAGAGTTTACTTCAGAAGGAAAGGCAGGAAAGATATAATAGATTCTCTTAAGTATGTAAAGAACATGAAGTGAGAACCTAAAGAAAAGCAAAAGATTTTCTTCCACTTTATTCTAAGTAAAAGAGTGGTGGTAGTCTGAGAAGAAGAGAAAGCTCTGTTTGATATCAAGAGTGATTTTTGATACAGAGTTAAATACATCAAAGAGAAGAGAGTTAAAATGTCATTTAAGAGAGAGAGGGAGAAGGATAGGGGTGTGTGTGTGTGTGTGTGTACATACATACATACATACATACATACATATACACACACATACATAGACAAACACACACCACACACACAAAATGCTTCTAAGTCCTGGATGATTTATA